GATGCATGCTAACAAGCGTTTGATTTCTTATTAAATAACTGGCATCTAAGAATGGAGTGCCTAATTGAAACCTTAGTTTTTTTATGACCGATTTTCCGACTGGGTGATAACCTAAATACATATGCAAGTCTGTAAGTGACTAACAATGTGAACCACGAACTCACGATCGTATTTCAGTGTCTCCAAAAATGGTTTACATAGAACCAGTCGCAGCTAACTGTCGACATTGGAGTAAATGGATCTGAAGTAAATAATGTTATCTGACAAATGAATGCTCGTTTCTAGCTGCAGCGTAAATAGTGTGTCAACTTCTGCGGGAGCTACAGAATGCCCTTTACTGCTAGAGTTGGCTATGACTAATGGTCGTCTCCATCACAAAACTGCTGCTTGTTGCTTAACTAGTTAAAAGAAAATTACGAATATGTGCCCAAGAGAATAACTCGAAAAAGAAAACAACGAAGCTACTTAGAAGACAATTAACAACAAAAGTAATAAAACCAAAGGAAATGAGTTCAGCTCACCTGATAAATATGTACATACATATGTAAGTTTGTGTATTTGTTTGCGTACGGTTGCCTTGTAGAGAATGCTTGTAGATGTGACCAGGATAGCACCCGTATGCTTTGCAGCTCAGCTCAGTAATTATTCCGCCTTTATGTATGTATGTATTTCTCCGTTCATTCATTCTAACAACTAGTATTTTTAAAATTGCAATATTGTACGAATTGGCATTTGGCAGTCTTTAAATATAATATTGCTCCTGTCAACAAAAATTTGTTAGTAAGTTAAGTACTGTCAAATTTTTAAGCAAGCTGCCTCATTGAGTTTCTGTTTGACAGCCATTGAAAGTAGACAACGTGCGGACTGTTACATACATACCTCACACAGCATATTCTCGCAAACTGACACAAATTTCTTTTTAGGACTTTCAAGCAACCTATTATTTAGAGGTGGCTACCCAAAACAAACATTTAGGTTAATGTGTTTCTCTGAGGTAGAAGGTTAGAAGACGATTAGGGAGACTTTCGAGAATTTTAGTATTCTCTACAAAAAGAGGACCTAGTTCTCAATATACAGCCTTATCATGAATATTCGGTGAAAAATTTCGTCCAACGAAATGGTTCACTTTATCATGAATGTGGAACAATTTCGGGTGAACGGCATTGCACATAGAAATTCCAAAGTTGAGATAACAGCTGTCAAAGCCATTAAATACAATTTAAATTTCGGGCATACTTGCGAGTATCTCGTACATTTGTGAAAATTTAGCAATTGTTTTGCGGTTTTATGCGTGCGAGTGACAGTTATTTCACTGGTGAATACGGTATATGATAGTGTGAATATTTAACGTACAATAGGTGAACACTGTATGGGCGAAATGTGAACGAGTTCACACGAAATTAAAATTCATGATAAGGCTGATAAAGAAAATGGTTAGATATCTAATCGTATTCTAACCTTGAATTCTAGTCGGTTTCTAATGTCTAGTGTTTTTGTAATCGTTCTATAATCGAATTCTAACATTGTTCTCTAACCTATATTAGAAATCTTATGTAAATTCAAAATATTTCTCTAACGCCAGAGACTGTGTTTGCTGGGTAAAAAGATGATGGCTTTTTGAAATTAACCCTTTTTGTTTTCATTTAATGTTATGTTTTTTGCAAATCCAATTCTGTAATTTTCTCTACAGGGTGGTTTAGCTTTCGAAGTGTGCGTCAGCACGCAGAAAGACCGTAGTTTTCCGTTCCCACAACAGTCGGGTCTACGTAACCGGAACGACCCAGATTTATATCTGGCCAAGGACTGTCACTCCAGCAACACTCCCCAAAAAGTCTTTGGGGAATTTGTATGCTGCTACAACAACAACAACCGTAGTTTTCCATCCCACGACAGCCGGTTCTACGTACCGGAATGACTCGGGGTTTACCCGACCAAGGGCAGTTGTTTCGGCGATCTAACCCCGTTTAGGTCGGCGAAGTATCTCAGAAGTTGTTCGTCCATAGGGCTACATTCGCTACGTTTTCTCCTACTCAGGGCTGGCATCGAGTCAAACCCAGGGCCAGAAACCTACACCTGCTGTGTATGCCAGAGACGACTACACCACAACTCCACCTCTGTCAAGTGCAATGCTAGCGAGGGGTGGAGTCACCTCAGAGTCTGCTCAGGACGACGGACACATCGGCAGTGGACCACGTCTTTTGTGGCCCCCTGTTGCTCTAACAGAGCAGCCTCCACGGCTAACCCCAGTCCACCTGAGCAGTCCCACACAAATATCACAGCACAACAACATAACACAATAGACCACACCACAACGGCTACAGACCACAGAACACACACAACCGCACCACCACCCACACGCCGCCGCCAACAACTCCTGGTTCCTCCTACAATCTGCACGGTATGTAAGACCAGGATATTCCGTAATGTGACATCAGTCATGTGCAACACCTGCCTTGGCTGGTGCCACTTTAGGGCATGCTCAGGTCTGCGCACCACGCGAGATTGGACGAGGAACTTCGAGGGCCCGTGTTGCGCTGCTCGGTCGCAGCCCTCAACTGCGACGCCTCCCGCCACCACCACAGGGCGGCAACCACCTCAGCAGCGCACACAGCCAACTGCGGCACGACCACACACATCCCTCACACCCCGCATCACCACACGTCTCCCGAACCACATGAAGGTCCTTCAATTTAACTGTAACGGGCTTCAGAGCAAGATCGTAGGACGCAGTGGACGAAGCTACAGACGGTACAAAATACAGCACTTAGGACAGCGACCGGATGCCTCCTGATGTCACCAGAACACCACCTCTACGATGAGGCGAAAATGCTCCCAATTAGGGAGCACAACACGATGCTCTGCAAGCAGTTTCTGGTTGGGAGCCACAGATGTGGCCACCCAAATAGACAGCTGCTTGCAGAGGAGCCCTCGCCGAGGCACGTCAGGAGGCATCTATATGAACTGACGGACGTAGTCCAGAGGTTCATTAAGCAGCCTCTGGAGCCGTCAGCTCACAGACAGGCCCTGAACGGCATTCACAGGGACGCAGTCTCGAGTTATGTAGACTCAAGACCTGTGAATGCCGTTCTAGGCACACAAACACCGGACATTGACGCGACGGAGCTCCATCTGCCTCGGGAGACCAGAACAACAATAGCCCAACTTCGCTCTGGCTACTGCAGCAGGCTAAACTCCTACCTGAGTAGGCTAAATGCGGATGTGCCGAACGATGCCCGGCATGCGGAGAGACCCCTCACGACTCGAAACATCTCTTCGCATGCCCGGAAAACCCCACAACCCTAACGGCGTCGTCCCTGTGGACCGACCCAATAGAGGCTCCACGCTTCTTGGGGCTGCCGTTAGTGGAACTCGACGACAACGACTGAGATAACAGCCGATCTGGGCGGGGTTGTAGCCGCTACAACAACAACAACAACCGTAGTTTCCCCGAAGAGCCAAAAATAAATGCATATGTATGTATGTAGTGGTAAGCAGTGCGCGCTTCCACTCCGCAACGCCTGGGTTCAAACCCTGGTCAAAGCAACATCGCAAAAAATATCGAAAAAGGGGTTTTCTTAACAGCGGTCGTCCGTCGGCAGGAAATGGCAAACCTCCGAGTGTATTTCTGCCATGAAAAACAGCTTCTCATAAAAATACAATCGCCGTTCGGAGTCGGCGTAAAACTATAGGTCCCTCCGCTCCGGTCAGAGGAGAAGCTCGGCCAAACACTAACATATGTGTAAGCGCCAATCTATTATTATTATTATGGGTTTTTTGTTTAGTTTTGAGCTGGAATTAAATCTCAAAAAAAAAAAATTTTAATAATAAAAGGCAACTTCTCGCTCTAATCCGTCCGCTTAAGCTCGCTTAGAAAATTCAATTTGCCTTTAAAAAAATATTTTTTTAATTTTACAGCGAAGCTATTTCGATTTCGACACATTAAAATAAAAAAGGAATAAGCTACTTTTATTTCTATATTTAGCGCCTGCCAGACTTGGCAATGTTTCCAACTTTTCCACACAATTCCAATTTCAAATTGAGAAAGAGAAATTTATTTCCACGTGTGAACAGTCGGAAGACCTTTCTGTCACATTTCGGAAATCTGTTTCAGAAATTAAAATATAAAATATATTACAGCTTGCTCGTGCTGCACTAGCAATTTTTATTTCTGCAGCAAGTACTGTAAAACTGATCGAGTTTTGCCGTGTGACACAATAACGCTTAATTTTGAATGAAACAGCAGAAATGCTTTTCATTAATTATTTTTCGGAACTTAATTGTTTAGTTATGAATAATAAATTAATGTTCAAACTGAAAATAACGGTTATTATAATGAAGAGAAATAATCAACAACCGGCAAAGCGGCTCTAGGTTGCATTTTAGTACCGCAGTAGTAGATTGTCAGAAATTCATTCGCTGAGTGAAAAGCCAAAAAGCGTTTTCCGAAATTGTCCATGCAACTCGCTTTTCGGAAACCAAAAAAAAAAAACCGCTTTCGAAAAACACTTAACAAGCAAAGTGTAACTCATGCAACTGCTTTCTGATATTTCTCATTTTGACAGCCTCGAAATGTGTTGCCTTGTCCTCGTTTTGATTATGGTTCCTTCATAATAAAAAAAAGAAAATGTTAAAGCAGAGCGAAATGTGTGCCTGTGAGGAAGAAGTAAAAAAATATTAATTAAAAAGAAAACATAAAATATATGTATTATGGGTATTCATCTAAACGCTTACGTGCCTCGTAACCGCGTAAACTTCGTAAATAAAATGTTAAATTGGATTTTAGAAGGTATAGTAAATTTCCAAATGACGATGACTAAAATTTTAACAAGCCCCAAAAAGTTTTTATAATCTATAAAATATTACTAGGTACGTCATCTCTTATTATTGCATCGTGAGGCTAGCGCGCTCAGCCACTATTTCTTTCTGAATCAAGAGACAATTTTGTAAGCGCCGAAAATTTTTTCCCCGCTGCGTGCGCATACCACTTTTTTCGCCATATTGCAAATGTTATCTTGCACAAACCTTTTGATTCGTTTTTTATCTTTCCGTTGTACTTAGAGGCTCTTTTCTGTTTCTTTATTATCTCTTTATTTTTGCCTTATTCATTGATGTGGGCTTCATTTGTTATTTTTTTGTATGGCAAATGTTGTTGTTTTCTTTATCGCTCGTGAATCAGCAACAATACACGAGTACGTATTTATCTATGCAAATACTTGCTGTAAGCATTCTCTCTCAGCCCCTAACTTTTCTGAACGTCAGCAGGTTTTTGATTAAATATTCTTAACACAACGCGGCCGCCTTCCTTCCTTTATTGCTGTGCGTTTAGTTTACATATTTATTTATTTTGAAAAGATTACTATTGCGTTGTTTTGTAAATAATGCGAGGTTTTGAAGATTCCGATGTTCGTTCTTTTGGCGATGGGTGCTTGATATATCTAGAATCTCGGAAAAGTAAAAATGAAAATATTTACGATGCAATTAGGGTTTTTTAAATAATTTTTAGAATGCGAAAAACATATTTTTTTAGTTAAAAAAAAAAAACAAAATACAATAATAAAATTATAAATTTTTTCATGATTCCTTAAATCATCTCGTTTTTTAAGTTTTAACATTATTTATTTAAGTTTTTTAGTATAAGTTTTTTGGATTATGTTTTTTTATTTAAACTTTTTATTCATTTATTTTTATTTTGTTGTATAGACTTGGAAGCAAAAAAATTGATCAGCACAAACGAATTGTTTATAGAATTTTTTTTATTTAAATTTTGTTTCGCACATGCTTTTATGTATGTACTGCATACTACTCCATAGTCCAATTTAAAAAAAAAAAAGAATCTGGTTTTCTGTGCTTAGCTTCGAATTTTTCAAATTAATATTTCTTTTAATTCAGCTACGTTTGTTTGTTTCAAAGTTCTCGAGTACAATTAAGTTATTGTTGTGCCTTGATTAACCCATTCAAAGCGAATACAAACACTTGGCATTCATTCTGATAACTGATTCAGAAGCCAATTAATACGCTTAATGCAATTTATTCAAACAAAATACGGGTGAACTACATATTTCAATACAATACGTTTGAAAACGTTGCCCGTAGGATGTAAAGTTTTTAAAAATTAAAGGGTTTTAATTTACTTATTTTAATTTTAATGTTTTTGTTTTTGCCAAATGAAAATCTTGGGACACTACTTCTTTACGAGTTTTGATCACTTATTTTTTATTAATTAATTTTTTTTCCAAAAACTTTGAAAAAAAATTAATAAAAATGTAAAAATTAAATAAATAATATATAGATAAATATTTGTATTATGGTTTATACCAGACCAAGGCAAATTCTTGTAGTTTTAGTAATTCTGTAGCAAGTTTGAAATCAACAGATTTGATGTATCTGCTTATTAGCTCAATAAAGTGATGGAAAATACCAAACGATACACCCTGTACAGAAATATATATGTACATAGAAACCTGTATGTAAATACGCATGTACATACATAGTATATCTTCAATTAAAGCAGTAACCACAAACTGCAACGGATTTCCTTGGATTAAAAACAGCCTTCAGTGGCTGTGTGGTGTACAGTTCTTGCTTGCATTCATTCGGTTTTTTCTTATATTTTCTTTCTTTAGATACCACATTTTGGGCGAATGGTACCTATGTTACTGTGGCATGCAACACTGCTTTAATGCAGTTTTGCGTGTCTGTCTCAGCGCCAGCGACGGCAATCAAGCCAATGAACAATCGACGCTTTGTCCCCTTTGGCTGTCGGCTTGTCGATTTGTTTGAATTTTTATACATTATTACCCCCCTTCTACTTACTCAATAAGTACATACATATGTATGTATTTATGCTGCATACTTCCCCCACTGTTGCATTGATCGTCGTCACAGCGTTGCATGCTGTTGTGCATTCTACCTACAGTAGCGTGTCGGATGGTAGCTAGCCGAGTGATTGGCTGGTGGGATCGAACAGCGAATTTCACTTTTTGCACAAAATATAAGACACATATTTGTGTATGTATTTTGCTCTTAAAAGTTAAATGTTAATTGCGCTTAGGACTGTTTTCATCATCTCTGGTTAATATTAAAAGCATCGACATTCACGGTGTGTACATACATACAATTAGTTTGGTTAAAGTTAATAATAAAGTGCTGCTGGTGTGACGCTTGCGGTGACCGAAGAGCATATATGTATGTATTCATAAATTTTTTCGTTACAAATTATCATCTTTGTTTAAAAATTTGCTAGAAATAGATATTGAACGATTTTATCGAAATTCATCGTTTTTTGTCGATTTTTTTTTTGAACGTTATCAATTATGCCGAGTCATTTATCGATTCGTTGTAAATATTTATCCTTTTTTGACGATATTTATCGATTTTCATCAATATTTATCGATTTTCGTCAATGTTTATCGATTTTCGGTATTTACCTAATTATTATTAAAGATTATGGGTTGATATTTATATATTTTTAGTGGTTATTTAGTAATTTTTGTAGTATATTGCCGTTCGTTTGTCTTACGAATTTATTAATATCGCTATTGATCTTCGTCTATCGATTTAAGTTTGTATATCTGTATGCTTATCGTTAGGTTTATCGATATCACTATCACTTCTGTAACGATATTACCGTAATTCGATGCCGATATTCAGGTCCCATTCGCTCTCACTGAGTTCAAAGCAATGGCCTACGAATTAACATTAATCTGTGTAAGGTCACATGCTGTTAAAAGCTTCGCCATGTTGGCTGCCGTGAAAATTTCAATATCAATACATACATACATATTTATATTAAAATATTCTATGGTTTGCTGAAACAACTGCTTCTGCTATCAAGGAGTACCCAGCACGTTCGAATTCTGTCGAGTACGCTTTTCTTAACTTTCCACTAGATTTCACATCGCTGATTTTTATGGTACTATTCATAAAAAATAAAATAGATTTAAAGAGCTCTATAAAGTGACATTTTCATACAAATTTTCGATTTAAACATTTTGGAGTTAAAGTCTTCTGTAATTTTTTTATGAATTTGGCTGTTAGTTTAATTAAGACCCGAAACGACTGTGAACGAATGCAAGGTACAAATAATTTGGAACAGTACTTTTTTTTACAGTAAATGCGAAATGGAACTGAAAGTAGCAAAAGTAAAAAGATAATAAATAAAAGACAGAAAAACTTTGAGTTAAGTGTATAATTAAGAAAAACAACGAGTTCTGCGAGAACAAAAAAAAAATACATTGGACAATTACCGTCGTAACCGACTAAAAATAATTACGCGCCTCCGCAGCGCACCAGCCCGAAATTCACCTCCAAAAAACCCACACTTCCCAGCCCCTTTCACGTCTCCTACATTCTTATAAATCAAATACAAAAAAAAAAACAATGATCAAATTGAAATCGTTGTTCCGCAGAGGGCAAGGACCCTCGGGTTCCTCGAAGCACTCCTCCTCATCGAGCAACCGCCACAAATCGCAGTCCAGCACTTCGCTGAATACGGTCGGCAGCAGTCAGGAGCCAGCAGCGGCACAGCAGCAAGCAGCAGCCGGCGCTACCGCCTCGTCCGCCACTTTCTATCCGCCAATCGATCCGGCCACGGAGCGCGGCGTTGACGTGGGCGACGGTGATTTGAATCTTGTTGCACCATTGGCAGCGCGTACGCGCAGTCGCACACCCGAAACGCTGCGCAGCGCGCACAACAACGCCATATCAGCGGTGAACAACGCTAATACTTTGCCGCACAAGAAGCCAAAAGTTGCCGGCGCCACCAAGAAGGGTCAGAAGCAGCCGAAGCAATTGCCCGCCAACGCGGGCGCGCAGCCTCCACAACCACCACCACGCGCCGATATCGTAGTTGCCGCCGCACCAGCTGGCAATGTAATGACGACAATAGCTGCCGCGCCGGGAAGTCACAATTCCGCGGTTAATACAGCGGCCACAGCAGTCGCGGCAGCAACAAATAATAATTACACAGGCGGTGAATTGATTAGCAGCGCAACGGCTGCTCAGGCGCCGCTGCCAACGCAACGTGGTGTCACCGCAACAGCAGCTGAAGCGGGCATCGATCTGTACAAGTTGAACGCGGCCAATTATCAGCAATTCATCAACAACGAGCAACTATTGCAGCAACAACAACAACAACAGCAACAACTATTAGAGGTGAGTGAGCACTTTGTGGAATGAGTGTTTATATGTGGTTACTCAGAATTGGATATTTATTTATTTTTATTTTTTTTTTTTCGTTGCAGGCTAACAACAAAATGCAGGATCTGCAAGCGCAGCTAGAACGTATGGGGCATGAGAAACTTTTACTGGAAGCGCGTATTGCCGAATTACTGCCCTACCAGAGTGAAGTCGCCAAGCTAAAGGCGGAGCTGCATAAGATGCAGGTAGGTGGGCTGTGGGGTGCAGTGAGTGGTAATTGGAAACTCTACTGAAAACTCATCGAAGTCAAGGGCCACCGAAGTCTTACAAAAGTTTCTATTTTTCGTTTTTGAGCCGTGTGCTCGGCAGTGATTTACAGTTGTTTAATTGGCACATGCGAGCTATGAGATTCAATTAAAACTGGCACTCGTCATTTTCTGCTCACATGCAAACCATTAAATTAATTTGTCTTTCTCACAGACCCAGCAGGAGAAAAGTCAATTGGAGGTGGCAAATCTCAAGTACGAGAATGAATCGTTGCGCAATCGCTTGCGTGATGTCGTCAATTCGCCGTTATCAGATGCGGAGAAACATCAAATCATACAGGATTCCCAGCGTTTACACAGTTCGGCGCCGGCATCGATTGCGCTGCCAAGTGTAAGTTAATGGAAACAATTCGCCAAAGAGATCTTGTTTGGAAAATAAAATTTTATTAATAGAAGTTTAGCTAATTTGCCCAGTTTTTGATTTATCAAAAATTTATGTTCAGCTTCTTATGACCGAGAACTTATGTATGTATGTCTAGTTTTCAAATGATTAAAATTGTACGTGTGTCTCCCTATTCTCCTTTTCTCCCCAGTTCACCGATAACGATGTGGGAACGCCCTGTCTCACGCCCGACTGGGACAAACACTCGTCGTCTAGTGAAATCTCGGTTGCCTGTCTGCAGGATAAGATCATTCAAATGGAGGAGACGCACTACTCCACCAATGAAGAACTTCAGGCCACACTCCAAGAGCTGGCTGACTTGCAGGCCCAATTGAGTGATGCACAAGCGGAAAACGAACGCTTGGCCGAGGAGAAGGATGTGCTTTTTCAGACACTCTGTCGCCAAACGGAGAAACTAAACGATTCACGCACCCAAATCAATACGCTACGCACGGAAATTAGCTCCTCTGAGCGCGAACGTAAACTACTCGATCTGATTAAAACGTCGCAGGAGGAACGCGAAGGCATACTCGTCAAGCAGGAGGAGCTCAACGCAGAAATGCAAGAGTTGCGTCAGCAATTGGATGCCTCTATGG